CACAATATCATATTCATTACCATGATCTACCTCCTCAAATACCTTAGTGAAAAAAGTTAATAAATTCGTAAGGCAGGAACGCCCCTTTGTAAAACCATGCTGAGATTTGTTGATTAATTTATGCTTTTCAAGGTGGCTACGAACTGCCTCGGCAATTATTGATTCCATAAATTTTCCCACTATGGAGGTTAGGCTTATTGGTCTATAGTTCGAAGGTAAGGACCTGTCACCTGCTTTGAAAATAGGTATCACATTTGCCATTTTCCACTTATCTGGCACCATGCCAGTTTGTAGTGATATGTTGAAAAGATTAGCCAAAGGTTTGCTAAGCTCCTCTTTACATTCCTTTAGAACCCTTGCATACTGGGTGGGTCATTGGGATAATCCGGGGGGTGGGTCATTGGTCTAATCCGGGGGGGGGGGGGGGGACATGGACCTGCTCCGCATGGGTCAGTAGGCCTGTTGCAGTGTTCCTTCTTTCTTATGTTCTTCTTATGTTCTTATAATATACACACTCCAACCCTACTGTTCATTGAAGACACTTTGCACCGTCTGCTAAACCTCTTGGTTCGTAGGGAGGGAGTTTTGTGTGCAAATTTAGGACCAACTCCTCAAGATTTTTCCAGGAGTAAATTATGATACATCTTTCTCACCTACGACCAGGAAGTACAGTTCCAGGGACGTCAATTATTCCTAAAAGAGCTTGACTGAATTTATACATTCTGTACATTCTCCAGTTCTACAATTTTTCCTGCATTAAAAGGTGTTGTTGATGTCTACAATATTCCAGTCTAGAGAGAACAAGACACTAACGTAATCATTATTATCTTGGCATCCCTTGTTATGGTGGTTCTAGTTACCCTATTTATTATTTTCCTTGTGATTACTTCTCTCCTTATAAATTAGAAGTCCAAGTTTCTAGTGACTTCATAATGGTCCAGGATGTCAGTGGTGACCCCTCATTCAGTGGTGACCCCTCATTCAGTGGTGACTTCTCATTCAGTGGTGACCCCTCATTCAGTGGTGACCCCTCATTCAGTGGTGACCCCTCATTCAGTGGTGACCCCTCATTCAGTGGTGACCCCTCATTCAGTGGTGACCCCTCATTCAGTGGTGACTTCTCATTCAGTGGTGACCCCTCATTCAGTGGTGACCCCTCATTCAGTGGTGACCCCTCATTCAGTGGTGACCCCTCATTCAGTGGTGACCCCTCATTCAGTGGTGATCCCTCATTCAGTGGTGATCCCTCATTCAGTGGTGACCCCTCATTCAGTGGTGACCCCTCATTCAGTGGTGACCCCTCATTCAGTGGTGACCCCTCATTCAGTGGTGATCCCTCATTCAGTGGTGATCCCTCATTCAGTGGTGACCCCTCATTCAGTGGTGACCCCTCATTCAGTGGTGATCCCTCATTCAGTGGTGACCCCTCATTCAGTGGTGACCCCTCATTCAGTGGTGACCCCTCATTCAGTGGTGACCCCTCATTCAGTGGTGACCCCTCATTCAGTGGTGACCCCTCATTCAGTGGTGACCCCTCGTTCAGTGGTGACCCCTCATTCAGTGGTGACCCCTCGTTCAGTGGTGACCCCTCATTCAGTGGTGACCCCTCATTCAGTGGTGACCCCTCATTCAGTGGTGACCCCTCATTCAGTGGTGACCCCTCATTCAGTGGTGACCCCTCATTCAGTGGTGACCCCTCATTCAGTGGTGACCCCTCATTCAGTGGTGACCCCTCATTCAGTGGTGACCCCTCATTCAGTGGTGACCCCTCATTCAGTGGTGACCCCTCATTCAGTGAGAATACTTTCTGCTTCACATTTGGAAAGTGCCGCAGATGCTGACTATTAACAGATGCCACATAAACTTTCACTTACATCCGGCACTGTGCCACATACCGTGTCAGAACTCGGCCTACTGGCAGACCCCTCACTGTCTTCCAGAGGTAACGTGAAATATTCCTTAAGTCAGTTCCTGACTAGCCAGGCGGTGGTGCCTTAGTTGGATTGCGTGCTGCCAGCACCAACAGCCTGATTAACCAAGCCATCAACTAGGAGCCCTGGACTGGGACCGGCCAGAAGGAGGCAGTGACCCCCGGAACAGCCGAAGGGTAAACTACAGGTAATATATATATATATATATATATATATATATATATATATATATATATATATATAATATATATATATATATATATATATATATATATATATATATATATATATATATATATTTACACATATGAGTGCTTAATGACCCACACGTGTTTAAAACTATATAAATATTCTTTCTCTCTCTCACATTCCAGTCTGTCTTCACACGTTTTTGTAATTAGCTTCAAGAGGTTACTAGAGGCAGGATCCTTACATAGCTTTAAGAAGAGGTATGATAAAGCTCATGGAGCAGGAAGAGTGACCTTGTAGCGACCAGTAACGAGGCGGGGCCAGGAGCTATGACTCGACCCCTTGCAACCACAATTAGGTGAGTACACTTAGGTGCGTACACTGACACATCTGTGGTTGCAGGGGTCGAGTCATAGCTCCTGGCCCCGCCTCTTCACTGGTCGCTACTAGGTCCATTCTCTAACTGCTCAATGAGTTTTATCGTATCGCTTCTTAAAGCTATGTATGGATCCTGCCTCCATACATCACTCTCCAGATTGTTCCATTTCCTGACAACTCTGTGGCTGAAGAAATACTTCCTAACATCCCTATAACTCATCTGAGTTTTCACTTCCAGTTGTGATTATTATTATAATTAAAAAGAAGCGCTAAGCCACAAGGGCTATACAGCGCTTCCAGTTGTGATCCCATGTTGCCGTGCCCCATCTCTGAAACAGTCTATCGCTATCCACCTTTTCAATTCCTCTCAGTATTTTATATGTTGTTATCATGTTTCTCCCCCCTCCAATCCCGCCTGTCCTCCAGTGTTGTCAGGTTGATTTCCCTTAACCTTTCCTCGTAGGACATACCCCTTAGCTCCGGGACTAGTCTTTGCTGCAAACTTTTGCACTTTTTCTAATTTCTTGACGTGTTGACCAGGTGAGGGTTCCACACTGGTGCTGCATACTCCAGTATGGACCTGGCGTACACGGTGTACAGTGTCTTAAATGATTCCTTACTAAGGTGTCGAAACGCTATTCTCAGGTTTCCCAGGCGCCCATATGCTGCAGTAATTTGGTTGATGTGTGTCTCAGGAGATAAGCTCAGTGTGATACGCGCCCTAACACCCTTTCCTTCAGTGAGGTTTGCATTCTTTGACCCCCGCACCTGTACTCTATCTGCAGTCTTCTTTGACCTTTCTCAATCTTTATGGCTTTGCCCTAGATGGAGGTAATTACACTCCAGGAGCCAGTTACTGGATCAGGCTTGAAGCCTGTCCAGATTCCTTTGTAGTCCTACCTGTGTGTGTGTGTGTGTGTGTGTGTGTGTGTGTGTGTGTGTGTGTGTGTGTGTGTGTGTGTGTGTGTGTGTGTGTGTGTGTGTGTACTCACCTAGTTGAGGTTGCAGGGGTCGAGTCCAAGTGTGTGTGTGTGTGTGTGTGTGTGTGTGTGTGTGTGTGTGTGTGTGTGTGTGTGTGTGTGTGTGTGTTTAATCACTCTCACTAACGTAAACTAACCCATTTTTTTTCCAAATTTAACCTAACCTAACAACCTTAACTTACCTAACCAAAGATATAAATTAATTTGTAATAATCCTCACAGATACAAACGCTGCCATATATATATATATATATACTGAGTTCAGTATGCAAGTATTACCACTTCTTATGGAGCACACTGCTTATATGTAGCATATATTTACATATTTTCCTATTAAGAATATTATATATACTACGTTTTATATACGTTTTAAGATGAGGGAAGTGAGAGAAGTGATGCTGCTGTCTTGGTATGCAACCTCCAATATGTCACCTAATACCAGAATAGTTCATACATTTTGTGCTTCTGCTTGTGGTGGCAGTGCAACATTTGCCAAAATAAAATGTACATCCTTGTTTTTCTGTCTTGTTCAAAAGTTATAAGAGAATAAAGATATATAAGTGAGAGGACTGTAAGAAACCCTCTGAGGTGGCAACACTGAGCGATCACCTGAGACGTAGCTTAAATTCTGACAAGGTAACTGTTGAGGCTACCGCTACTACCTCCCTCCCATACCCCTCCCACCAACCCTCCTCCCACCTATTGATGCTGCTGGTCCAGTTCTCAGCTCCTGGTCCACCCTGCTCTCGCACCACCACTCATCAACGTTCACATTTCAACGTTGCCTCTTTTCTTTTCTACCTCGTTGCCAGACGTAGTTAGGTCTTTTTTTCCTTATTTCTGATTATTTAATTTTAACACGTTGAGAGCTAAACCCATAAGAGTCATACAGCACATGGGGAAATGAGAGGTATGCAGGTTCGATCCAAGGAATTAAAACAGATCCAATTCCTTAAATCAAGAGCTCAACAGAATCAAGGAACCTCTCTTGAGAGGCCAGCCTTCTGGATCACCTTGATCAACATCACTAACTTGTGGCCTCTTGGGGCCTTATCATATCTACTCTTGAAGCTGTGTACTGAGTTTGCCTCCACCACTGCCTCATACAAGTCATTCCACTTTTCGACCACCCTGAAAGTAAAGAAATACTTCCTGACATCCCTATGACTCATCTATGTCTTAAGCTTCCATATGTGTACTCTTGATCCTGGTCCTCTTAATTCAAAGTCTGTTCATATCTGCCCTGTCTACTCACCCTAATATTTTCTGTGGTAATCATGTCTCCCTTTGGCCTCTCCGCCGAGGTCGTTAGGTACAGTTCCCTTATTATATTTAAGAAAAACACTAAAACCACCTTAATAATAAAGTGCCTTGGAACAGGAGGCAATCAGGTTTGATTTGAGGAACTAAAGAATACCTCCAATTCCTTAGATCAAGATCCCTTCACTGGTATGAAGGACAAAGGGATGGGTAGCTTCATTTCCATAGATCAAGATCCCGTCAGAAACATCAAGGTACCCACCTTGAAGAGCATAAGGAGGGATAGCTCCATCTCCATAGATCAAGAGGCCTTGAGTAGCATCAAGGTACCGTCCCTGAGGGTAGGTGAGAGGGAGCGTGGCCGTCCTTGGCAATACATGATCATCATTCCTGGAAATGCCAACACAAAACACCGAGATAAACAACTTGTTAGACTTTCCCATCAGCCTCCGTGGCTGACTTTAACAGGTACACTTGTTTACTAGCACTACTGGCGCCTAGCAGCTAGGCTCTCAGTATGCAGTTTCCGTGTAATTGTAAAATGTGTAGTTACCTGGTTACCTGGAGGTTATTCCGGGGATCAACGCCCCCGCGGCCCGGTCCATGACCAGGCCTCCCGATTGATTAATTGGGTTTAAAGTACCTCTATGAACCTCTCAAGGGATCATTATTCCTCCATATAATCTGGGTTTTCTGGTTTTTACTACCTCGGGATGGACAAAGAACGCCAGATAATGTCCCCTGACGTCTTCCTCTATTCCTTAGGCTTCAGACCAATCATATGTAGCATCTTGCCTAGAAGGGGAGTAGGAAATGAATGGTTGTCTAGGGCAATTGGTGTAAATTGCTGGCTAGACAGATACTGCAAGGAACTTGCAATCCCATTCATTGACAACTGGAACAACTTTTATGGCAAACATGATATGTATGCAAGGGATGGGGTACATTCTCTGGGGCAGGTGGTACACTGCAGACTCGATTGAGAAGGCCATTGGTTTTAAATGCCTAATGATTTAAAAGATGGAAGATAAGGATGGGTGTTGTGGGAAACAAGCAGTTGCAACACTAGGTTGGAAACTGTAAATTTTATAAAAGGCATTCAGAATAATTATAATAAAGATAATAGAAAAAGTCACAAAAAAGGGGGACAGCAGAGGCTGCAAGGGGACTATACTCCCTTAAAGGGTTAAATATACTAATAGCAGAGTGTTAGAAATAAGATAGAGACTAAATTAATTGCAAGTCAGGAAACTAGATATTATTGCTATAAACAGAGACCTGGCTCAATCTGAAAGATAGAGAGATGCCCTCTGATGTCACATACAAGGCTATAAATTATTCCACACTGACAGGTCACAGGAAAGGTGGTGAGTAGCGATGTATGTCAGAGACAATTTAAATTGTTGTGTTAGACAAGATATTAAATTAGAAGCGTCAGCCACTGAATCTGTTTGGTTTACAGCTTCTCGAGGGCCGAGAAAAACTAATTTTGGGTGTGATTTACAGGGCCCCAAATCTTGATAGGGAGTGCAGTAAACTTCTATGGGACAAATTCGTAAGGCATCTACACACGAAAATGTTGTGCTAATGGGGGATTTCAACTATAGACCGATTGACTGGAGCAATTTGACAGGAAATTTAGAGTCGGGTGAAATTTCTTGATACGATCCAGGATTGTTTTTTAAAAAAGTTTGTGACAGAGCCAATGGGGAAATAACCTCCTTGACTTGGTTTTGCCAGTAGGGAAACCCTAATTAATAATCTTGAGGTTAATTTATGAGCTTGGGAGAGTGATCACAAATCACTCAGTTTTAAAATATCATGGAATTCCCCTAATAATGGCAATCAAAGTCTCCGTCCCTGACTTTCGCTGGCTGATTTCATAGACGAAAAATTACTTAGGTGGGCCTGAACTGGAATGACCTGACTAAGGGTTCAGTAGGTGGGAGGTTTCCGATATGAAAGCTTTCCAGGGCATAGTTCTAGCTGCTCAGTCAAATTATGTTCCAAATAGGGAAAACAGATCAAACAAAAATGATCCTAAATGGATGAACAATAGATTAAAATATTGATTGGTCAAAAGAGAGGCATATATAGGCAAATCAAAAGAGGAGAGGGGCAATTAAGAAATCGATATATTCAGTTAAAGAGAGAAATAAAAAAGGGAATTAGAAAAGCAAAAAGAGATTATGAGGTTAAAGTTGCAAGAGAATCGAAGACTAACCCAAAAGGATTCTTTCAGGTATACAGAAGTAAGATCAGGGACAAGATAGGCCCACTCAAAAGTTCCTCGGGTCAGCTCACTGACAGTGATAAGGAAATGTGTAGAATTTTTAACACATACTTCCTCTCAGTTTTTACACAGGAGGATACCAGCGATATTCCAGTAATGATAAATTATGTAGAACAGGACGATAATAAACTGTGCACTATTAGGGTCACAAGTGACATGGTCCTTAGGCAAATAGATAAATTAAAACCTAACAAATCCCCAGGCCCTGATGAACTGTATGCAAGGGTTCTAAAGGAATGTAAAGAGGAGCTTAGCACACCTTTGGCTAATCTTTTCAACATATCACTACAAACTGGCATGGTGCCAGATAAGTGGAAAATGGCAAATGTGATACCTATTTTCAAAACAGGTGACAGGTCCTTAGCTTCGAACTATAGACCAATAAGCCTAACCTCCATAGTGGGAAAATTTATGGAATCAATAATTGCCGAGGCAGTTCGTAGCCACCTTGAAAAGCATAAATTAATCAACGAATCTCAGCATGGTTTTACAAAGGGGCGTTCCTGCCTTACGAATTTATTAACTTTTTTCACTAAGGTATTTGAGGAGGTAGATCATGGTAATGAATATGATATTGGTATATGGACTTCAGTAAGGCTTTTGACAGGGTCCCACATCAGAGACTATTGAGGAAAATTAAAGCACATGGAATAGGAGGAGAATTTTTTTCCTGGATAGAGGCATGGTTGACAAATAGGCAGCAGAGAGTTTGCATAAATGGGAGAAATCAGAGTGGGAAGTGTCACGAGCGGTGTTCCACAGGGGTCAGTGTTGGGCCCCCTGCTGTTCACAATCTACATAAACGACATAGATGAGGGCATAAAGAGCGACATCGGCAAGTTTGCCGATGACACCAAAATAGGCCGTCGAATTCATTCTGACGAGGACATTCGAGCACTCCAGGAAGATTTGAATAGACTGATGCAGTGGTCGGAGAAGTGGCAGATGCAGTTTAATATAGACAAATGCAAAGTTCTAAATGTTGGACAGGACAATAACCATGCCACATATAAAACTAAATAATGTAGATCTTAATATTACGGATTGCGAAAAAGATTTAGGAGTTCTGGTTAGCAGTAATCTGAAACCAAGACAACAGTGCATAATTGTTCGCAATAAAGCTAATAGAATCCTTGGCTTCATATCAAGAAGCATAAATAATAGGAGTCCTCAGGTTGTTCTTCAACTCTATACATCCTTGGTTAGGCCTCATTTAGATTATGCTGCACAGTTTTGGTCACCGTATTACAGAATGGATATAAATTCTCTGGAAAATGTACAAAGGAGGATGACAAAGATGATCCCATGTATCAGAAACCTTCCCTATGAGGATAGACTAAGGGCCCTGAAACTGCACTCTCTAGAAAGACGTAGAATTAGGGGGGATATGATTGAGGTGTATAAGTGGAAGACAGAATAAATAAAGGGGATGTAAATAGTGTGCTGAAAATATCTAGCCTAGACAGGACTCGCAGCAATGGTTTTAAGTTGGAAAAATTCAGATTCAGGAAGGATATAGGAAAGTACTGGTTTGGTAATAGAGTTGTGGATGAGTGGAACAAACTCCCAAGTACGGTTATAGAGGCCAGAACGTTGTGTAGCTTTAAAAATAGGTTGGATAAATACATGAGTAGATGTGGGTGGGTGTGAGTTAGACCTGATAGCTTGTGCTAACAGGTCGGTTGCCGTGTTCCTCCCTTAAGTCAATGTGACCTGACCTGTCTAGGTTGGGTGCATTGGCTTAAGCCGGTAGGAGACTTGGACCTGCCTCGCATGGGCCAGTAGGCCTTCTGCAGTGTTCCTTCGTTCTTATGTTCTTATGTTCTTACTTCAGCCAAGACTGTACAACACCCTCCCAGCATACATATGGGGAAGTACCGATAGACCCCTGGCAACCTGGAAGAGGGAACTGGACATGCCTAAAATCAGTCCCTGATCCACCGGGAGGCCTGGCCAAGGACTGGGCAGCGGGGGCGCTGACCCCCGGAACACCCTCCGCGTATACCTACAGCTCCCACCTCCAGTCCACTTAAACATTGTTGTCTTGAATCCCTTTATTGCACTTTATCGTACAAATTATTTTAGGGCGACAGGGATTACTTCTACAGAATAAGAAAGTTCCAGTGCAGTTGTACTTAAATTTTTAAATGATTTACTAGGGAAATATTGTAACGTGCCAGCTGACAGTCTTGAAACCGACCAGAGAATATAACTTGGGAGATGTACCCTCATCTGACGCCATGGGAGACGTACCCTCATCTGACGCCATGGGAGACGTACCCTCATCTGACGCCATGGGAGACGTACCCTCATCTGACGCCATGGGAGACGTACCCTCATCTGACGCCATGGGAGACGTACCCTCATCTGACGCCATGGGAGACGTACCCTCATCTAACGCCATGGGAGACGTACCCTCATCTGACGCCATGGGAGACCTACCCTCATCTAACGCCATAGGAGACGTACACTCATCTGACGCCATGGGAGACGTACCCTCATCTAACGCCATGGGAGACCTACCCTCATCTGACGCCATGGGAGACGTACCCTCATCTGACGCCATGGGAGACGTATCCTCATCCGACGCCATGGGAGACGTATCCTCATCTGACGCCAGTATAAAAGCGCCAAACCTGTGCTTCACATTCTTGAGAGTCTCCAAGACTACGGTGATCTTCACCAACTCCGAGGCTCAGGGACTCATTACCGTATCTTTTATATATAATTCTAGTCTTCATATTATGTCCTTGTTTTGATGCAGTCACTGGTTGGCAAAATGTCTAGAAATAAAGATACCCAGATGTTGTAAATGTGTCTAAATCTTCACCTTGTCGTTATATTTATATAGATGTACCTTGAAGTTCCTGAGAGATGTACCCGGTTCATGGTGTAGCATGTCAACTCATCTAAGCTGTACCTGCTGAAATGTATCGGCCATCTGTCAAGTATTATTCTGATTACCAGCAGAAGGAAATACAGTCTGTGGAAGATCAAATCCTCTAAGTGTTGTGTCTGCTTATCGTGTCATTACGATTTCGTGAGTCAAGCTTACTGTGATGACTGATTACCCTACATGTTTATATTGCTAGGATAG